GAAGTTTCAAATTCCACCTCCCCCCTACCCCCAGGAAATACAGTAGGGCCACCGGGCCACCCCGCAGCTTTGCAGCCTCACCTGAACATCAGAAGCCCCAGAAGTCGCGGCCAGTCAGTTTTCCCTCCAGGGGACAAGAACGGTGCGTTCCGCGTGCCCCGATCTGCTTGGGAGCTCACAGCGCCGCTCCGCCTAGCCGGGGCGAGGGTGCGGATTCTTTTTAAGGTGGTCTGGTGCAGCTCCCGGACAGCACCACCTGCACTTCTGGTCTGCTCCGCTTTGAATCTCCCGTGTTTATGGAGGTTGTCTGGGTTAAGGCCAACCCCCGAACCCTCTCCCCCGCGCCCGGGTTTTAACCCTTTGATGGATGCCCATGGACGTGGCACCCCCTTCAGATACTTAAGCCCTCTCCTCTTCTCCCGCACAGCGCCACATCCTCACCACCCTCTCCCTGACTTTCTGTCCCATCCTGGGCCAAAACATGTGCTGTGTCTTTAAATGGGCGGAAGTGGCTGGCAGTGCTTTGCTCGGGTACTGCATTGATTAGCAGATTATATGGAGCTGCGGGAGCTGCCGCCTGGGGGAGGAGAGGTGCAGGTTCTGCTAGGTTTTTGCTCTCCTTCTGTGCTCTCCTTGAGTCTATTTCCCAAGGCTCTTCAGAGCCCATGTGAGGTGAGGGTGGGTGGGTGGCTGGCCAGCCTGCCTGTTGACAGCAACTCCAGGGCTTGTTCCACAGCCTTGCCAACATTACCATCCTCATCCAAAACTGGCAGAGGCAGCAACAGCTCCCGCAGGCAGCTTCAGCCCCTGCGGGCTGGTTTTGCAGAAGCTGCCCTTCACCTTCCAGCTTTGGGCTGGGAAAGGGGAAGAAGGGGGAGCCGCGGCAGTTCTCCTGGCTTTCTAGATCTCTCTCCCTGTCTCTCTGTCTCTCTCCTTTCTCTTTCTGTGTTCAAGTCACATTACATGGGATTCTGTTCTTTTGGGACTTCGTCATCTTTTCAAATATGTCCTGGGACCTCCGGAGCCGTACCGGGGATGCTAAGGACACGGTCAGTGGATTATCGTGACTGTACTAATGAAAGGATTCAAGCTATCCTGGTAAGTAGAGAAAGGATCAGCACCTTCCTCTTCTGTGGTCTTTCTGCAGCCCAGTGTCTCTCTCCACTCCCCAACCCCCCACCCCACCCCACCCCAGCACCACAGCATTCTCACAAGATCTCCATCCAACAGTCCCACCTCCCGGCATGGATGTCCAGGGGTCCAGAGAGGGACTAAACTCAGCAAAGTTGGGTGACCCTCCTGGCTCACCCCAACTTCTGCACTGCTGCAGTGTTTTCTGCCAGCATCTTCCTGGAGGGACCAGGTTTGGGGAAGTTGTGTGTGTGTTTGGGTGGGGGGTACGGTCAAGGCACTGTAGCTGAAAAGTCTCCAACTTTGAGGGGCTGCACGCTAAGGGAACTTGGTGAGAAAAGGCCCCTTGCGCCAGATCCTGTGGGTCTACCTCAGGCTGGTGGTGCAGTGGTGCTCTCCCTGGCCCTGACAGACATCCCAGGGCCCTTTCTCATTCTGCTCCTTAGGGTCCTCCAAGGTGGGCCATCTGACCTGTTGAGGCTTCTCTCCCAGGAGAATAACAAGGGGGCCACATGCCAACCTCCAGATTTCCCTTTTGTCCAGGAGAGTGAACCCTTCCGCCCTGTGCCCACACCATACCCATCACACCGAGTTCACGTGTGTTCACACACACCGACATATACACACACCCCTTTGTTCAAACCTCTCCTTCTGGACTTATTGTTGAGGGAAGCCACTTCTTGTTTGAGGTAGGGGTGTAGCTATATTGTAGCCCCCACAGGTAATATTTTTACCTTCCATTTGAAAACTAGAACCTTTACCTCCCCTCCTTTTCTCCTTTGAATCAGATTGGGGGGCTAGAAGAGGGTGCAGCAGACAGGACACTGACTTTTTATCTGCAGAGAAACTGGAGATTTTGCTTGGAAAACTTTATCACAGCAGGATGGGTACTCCCTGCAAGGCCTCCGGGCAGCTCGAGGAACAAGGAGCAGCTCCTTGGGCTGGGAATGAAGCCTTCTCTCCTTGAGGCAGTGGAGGGTGCTGGGTGGTAGGTCATCTGTCTGGGTTGGAGGTTGTGGAGCTAAGTATTTCGTAGTGGAGATAAGTATTGAGCACTTTGATGCATAAAGTCCTTGCTTGGCTCTAGGTGCTTTCCAGAACCCCCCTCCCTGATAGAATGTCCAGTCTAGCCCTCTTCAGGCAGGAGAGTCATGTAGTGGGTCTTCAACTTTGTGGGAGAGGGAGGAGCTTAGTTTTTGCAAGCTTCCCCCTTAAGAACTGGGAGGTGCCAAGAAGCGATGAGCATCAGATGAGCAGATGAGCATCCCTGACCACCTAGCCTGTGGTTGCTCCTCAAGATCTGGTGTCAGTCTCTCTGATGTTTAGCTCTTGTGCTGAGTTTCAGAAGGGGAGGCAGAGAGGCAGTAGGGTGACACCCCTGCCCTTACTCTCTGAGATCCAGGTGACCTGATACTTCTGGGTTGGGAGCCATTACGGAGCCTGTAGCCACAGGGAATTTCAGGCCTGGCCAGCACCAAAGCTGCCCCTTCATTCCCCCGCAGAGCAGAGCTGGGCCCTGTCTTGGACCAGGGTTCCCAGGAGAGCGCAGGGGCTGCTGGGAGAGCAACGACACTAGGGGGACGGGCTCATGATCCAGAATCCCCCAGCGTCTCCCCCTACCCTCCACCATACCCCTGCTGTCAGCACAGCCAGCCTGGGACTAGGGGGGTGCTGGGCTGTCGTTTAGGATGAGACAACACTAACACACTGTGCTTTTCGACTTAACCTGGGCTGATCCCTCAGGGACGTGCAGAGAGCTTTGCTTTTCAAAATCAGCCTTGAGTATCTCTTGATGCATTTCAACGAGGAAAGCAGTGTTAAGCGGGGAACTGTCATTGGGGTAAACTTGTCAGCTCCAGCCAAATAAAATGTTAGAAGGATGAGGAAATTCTGTCATTCATATTTGCCCAGATACTGTTAGATGCTGTGATTCATGATCGCATCAGGTACAGATCAATCAGTCTGTCTGAGCTGAGGGGCCAGAGCTTGCTTTTGTGATATGGGCGTTTGGGCTTAAAATTTGATTCTCTTTCATTCTGTCCCATGTCAGGGTACCATCTACTCCCGCCGGGAGGCTGGGTGGAAAGATGACAACTTCTTAGATTCTGGGTAACTTATAAAGATGGGATTAATTACTTTAGCAACATTTGAATCATTTATGGAAGCGTTTCCGGAATACCTAGTATGGTGATGATAGGATGATGGTGCTGGTGATGATGGATGACACCTAATATTTGCATGCTTACCTATGTCAGCGCTTAACCATCTTAAGCGTTAGTTGTATGGTTGCCTGGTGCTAGTAGCATTGTGATCCACGATCCCCATTTTACAAAGGAAACTGAGAGGTTACGTAGCCTGCTTGAGGGCGTGTTGATAGGACTCTCACTTTGGATTTACAGATAAATTCCCCAGTGACTCACCTGTTTTTGGTTCTCACTTATCATGCATTTTCCTCTGTATGTGACATGGTACTATGTTTTGGATATTTTTTTTAAAGATTTATTTATTTATTCATACATATAGAGCTGGGTTACAGGCCAGAGATGTGGAGGGTGAGAGGATTCACCAGAGACAAGAGAGGGGAGCAGAACAGGCAGATCTACGAAGTACACCACTGTGGGGAGCGGCGGGCGGGTCAGGAGAGGTCTGCCTCGCCATTTGGATCTCCTGGGGCAGGCGGGGATCGGGGATGGAACTCATTGGGAAGTGGCTTAAGCTTCTTAGTGCTGTGCTTTAACCCACCGCGCCACCAGGGAGGGCCCGTATTGGATATTTTATTATTATTATTATTACTGATTTACTGTCTAATGTTCATGTGGTTAATTAGGCTTTTAGTATGTGAAATCTATTATCTCTTTCAATTCTTACTATCTTCCCATGAAGCAGTTGGGATCTCCATTTGAGAGTGAGGGAAAATGAGGACCAGAGTGTTACCAAGGGTTTTGACAAAGTTCATGCAACTTAGTGAAAAGGCCAGGGTGCAGACAACTTGTCCCTTGGCCATTATGTCGATTTTGCAAGTGCCATCGCAACAGCAAGGTGGTGCTTCTGTTAGATCTACTTTCCCAGAGAGCAGGGTTACGGTCTATAAATCCGTTGCTCCTCCAGCCCTTCATTTTACATATGTGGAGTCGTGATTCTCACAACCCTGTACCTAGGCCTTATGGAGGTTAGAAACGTAAAGGACATTGCCCGTGATTTCTAGCGACTGCTGCCTCACATGAAATGAAAGCCAACCCCTGCCACCCCAGCACAGACACATACACATACACAAAGCCTACAAAACAAGAGACATGCAGTGAACACCAAGCATGTGAGAAATTCAGAGGAAGTAAACATCCATTTGAGCTGGTGGAAGAGAAGCTTCTTGGAGTAATTGGCACTTGGGCAAAGCTTGGAAGGCCGGCCAGTGTGAGGTAGCAGAGGCTGTGTTTTATACAGCAGTGTTAGCACAGCTCCTGGAGTCCAGAGGTTGCCAAAGAGGGTGCAGCCATCAGGATGTGTGTGTCCCTGAGAAGTGACATGATGGTGAGATACAACCAACTCACCCTCCCTCTTGTGGGGCAGGGCCATTGGGCTTTCCTGCAAGAACACTCTGTTTCTGCCTCTTGATTACTCCAAGGTAAGAACAGAGGTCACTTGGTAAAGATGGTAAGGACAGAGGTTGAGGGTTGGGAAGATGGCAGATAGGGCTGTGCTTCAGCAGAGCTGCGGGTCACATGTTGTTTGGAAGCCAAGTAATGAAGACAGTGCACCAGTCCTTCTGGATGGTTAGTGTGTGTGTGTGTTTCTTCTAACATTATTCCCAATTCTTACAGAGCTTCAGAACCTCAGAGACCATGAAGACCCCCCCACTTCATGGGGCTGCTCCCGTACTGACTGTTTTGGTCCCACAGTACTTGGCAGACTGTAGTGACATCTGTCTCAACTCTCTGTCCTTGTGTTCCTGATCCTCATGTCTGTTGGGCACTGGTGGCACAGTCTCCATAGAGCCTGGAGGCTGTGACAGACCTTCAGAAAAGTCAGTGGCTAGAAGAAATGACTCTGAAAAAGCGGAGTAGACAGTATAATTCTCGAAAGATAGCAAGGGGAAACATTTCTGTGGCCAGGTCTCAATGCACAGGTGAGAGGATGTGGCATTTTTCTTTGTGTCTGAACAGGCAAGGGAGCCATCATGCTACCTTTGCACTGTTTCATCAAAGGGGAGAGCTGTGAGAGAACCTACTCACTTGAGTGCCTTCACTCCTCTAGTTCTTGGCAGTGAGTGGCCATATTTGATTAGCTAGTGAAGGTCACCTGTCCAGTGTACTTTCTCTCTTCAGATCTGTCAAGGAATGGAGTAATGTTCCTTTTGCAGCTCTGGTATAGACCCATGAAAGAAATGGATGAGGTGTCTTTGAGGTTCTTTCTGCAAAATGCTTTCTCTAGCGGAGGAGGGAGCCCTGGATACGGCCTCTGTACACCTCCTTCAGAGCCAGGCTCCCAGCTATTTTCACGTTTGCCAGAAGGTGAGCTGCAGTGAAGGTTGGAGTCATTCAGTGACTTGGGATTTTGAAGCGCCACATCCTAAATTGGAATCTTGTAACTACCTTTTGACCTGCTGTGTGTCCTTGGGCGATGACTTCTGCTTGCCCTGGGTGGCAGCTGTTTTTCAAAGTGAGATTAAATAATAGTGCTGGGTAGACTATTTGGTCTCCTGGCTTCCTTTTCACTCATGATTTAGAAAAGGGCCACAGTCCACCCAGAGTGGTAGCTCGTGAAGTGGACTGTTGGCAGACTTTAACTAGCACGAGACACTAAGAGTAGACCTTCATTTGAAAGCATTAAATACTAAATTCAGTAACAAGCCTCCCCCAGCAGATGCACACCCTCTTGTGAGTGGTGTGGGAATGACTTTATTACTTGATGGGTAGAAATTCGAGGTTTCACTTGGTCTGGTCAAACCAGGCTACTGAGTGCCACTCAAC